AATTCAGATCAGTGGCCTGGAGCCGGGCTGGCGCTACGAATTTCGTTGCTTTGCCGAGAACATTGTGGGTCGCTCGAATGCCAGCGAGCTGTCCGATCCGCTGACTGTGACCTTGCAGAGGAACGCAATCAGTGTGCCCCGCTTTGTGGAAGAGTTGACGGACATGGATGCCGTCGAGGATGAGCGGATCGAGTTCCGCGTGCGAGTTCTGGGCGAACCGCCGCCAGAGATCAATTGGTTCAAGGATGGCTACGAGATCTTCAGCAGTCGTCGCACCAAAATTGTCAATGAGCTCGATTGTAGTGTGCTGATTATACACCAGGTGGCGCTGACCGACGAGGGCGAGATCAAGTGCTCGGCCACGAATCGTGCGGGTCATGTGGTCACCAAGTGTCGCCTGAAGGTGCAGGCACCGCCCAAGATTCGTCTGCCGCGCACCTACGAGGATGGCCTCATCGTGGAGGCGGAGGAAGTGCTACGTTTAAAGGTGGGCGTGGCGGGACAGCCAGCCCCAGCCATCACCTGGCTGCACGAGGGCGAGGTCATAGTACCGGGCAGTCGTTTCGAGGTCACCAACACGGAGAAGAACTCCCTGCTGAAGATCGACAACGTGCAGCGCGCAGATCGGGGCGAGTATATGGTGCGAGCTTGGAATAAGCTGGGCGAAGATATCGCCTCCTTCCTGGTCACCGTGACGGCCAGGCCGAATCCGCCAGGTGCTCCACGCCTCAACATGTCCTTTGGCAAGTCGGCCACGTTGTCGTGGACAGCTCCGCTGGACGATGGCGGCTGCAAGATCGGCAACTATATCGTGGAGTACTTTCGTATTGGCTGGAACGTTTGGCTAAAGGCAGCCACCACACGGGCGCTGAGCACCACATTGCACGATCTGATTGAGGGCTCCGAGTACAAGTTTCGCGTAAAGGCGGAGAATCCATACGGCTTGAGTGAGCCATCGGAGGAGTCGGAATTGCTTTTCATACCCGATCCGAAGCGTGGCATCACCAAGCCCAAGTCGGCCACCAAAATTGCTGGCGATGAACGCAATGACGCTGGGCATAAGGAGAAGGACAAGGATATATCAAAGCCTGTGCCGCCGCGCCGCAAGACGCTGTCGCCGCCACGCCCACAAGCGGATGCGGCGACCAGCATGTCCGCTTCGCCCAAGCAATCGCCGCGTGGTTCGCGCAAGCCCACTCCACAGCTGGTGGACAGCGAGCAGCTGCGCCACGAGATGTCCTACGGCACCTCCGACCAGGCGCTGAAAATGAGTGTACGCAAGAGCCCATCGCTGAGCAGCGCCGACTCGGCTGCAGTGCAAACCAAAGCCACCAAGCCCGACTCCAATCCCAAGCTCAATTTGACGCTGATAACAACAACAGCGCTGGCGGACAAGCCGGAGCCACAGTCCAAGCCACCCAAATCACCCCCAGCTGCAGTGCCGCTGAAGCTCTTCAATGTCAAGCCGATGACTGACGCCAAGGACAAGTCACCTGGTCGCCCATCACAGAAGTCGAAGCCGCAGACGCAGCCGCAGCCACTGCCGCAGCCTCCGATAGCAGCACTGGAGCCTGCCTTGGATTCGTCTCAGCGTCAGCCTGCTCCACTGCGAAAGAGTCCAACGCCGCCGCAGCCCATCAAATCGACGCCCGCCCTGCAGCGCAGCGCTGAGCCCGTCCAGCTGGGCGTCAATCAGAATGTGAGACGCTTCTCTGGTCACTCCCTGAGCCCGGCCAAGAATGTGCCGGCTCTGGCAATTGCCATAGCCACCAGTGCCCACATTGGCGAACCGCTGCCTACCATAGAGATCAGTGCCCCGCCTCCTGCCCAGCCTGAGCCACTTGTGCCGGCGACTCCCACATCGGAGCCGACTCCACCAGTGACAAAGGTGCGTCCACCGAAGCCAGCGGATAAACACGACGAAGTCCATACGAGCAATGAGTTCATGCTAGTGGTCTTCGACAAGAACAGCAAGGTCAAGGATAAGGACAGTAAGTAGCTGAAGTATTTCCAAAAACTCCCATTGATATTGATTTGCCTCGTCTAGAGCAAGATTCCTTTGAGCTGGAACTGGAGGACGCCATACAGCCACCGCCGATCTCCATCTCTGCACCGGATTTGGCCTTCTTGGAGTTCACCAACTTGCACACGACTTTCCCGCTGCGCCGCTCGGTCAGCTCCACGGAGCTCCTCTACGAACGTGCCATGGCGCGTTTCTATGAAGCCGTGGAATTGGAGCAAGCCTCCAAAGCAAAGGCGAAGACTGCAAGGGCCCAGGAGCCGGCAGCCATAGCCGTTACCGCTCCGACTACGTTCCGCAAGCGCCTGGGCTCTATGACGGAGGCGGAGCGTGCTTCCTTCGAGCGCCGCAGCGAGCTGAGACGCCAGTCGGCTGACATGGTGCCCATGGGACGTAAATGGGACTCACGGGAGAACGTGAACCTCGTTGACTTAAAGAATCTGACACGTGCTAACACGGAACAGCTGCTCAATCTGCAGGCAAGAAACACTGATAGTCGTGAACAGGATGTGGAGGATTACGACGAGGATCGCACGGAGAGCACAGCCGATGACAGCGAGGACTTGGACATGGACGAGGAGCAGCAGCAGCAGCAGGGCTTCGACTTGGGCACTGATTATACCGAGAGCACCGCCACCTCCGACCAGGACTCCATTGAGAAATTCAAAATGCAGCTGATGGCGCGAACTCACTCACCCAGTCCACGTGATCTGGAGACGTATCATCCGCGCAACATGGGCACTGGCACCTTCACCCCCTATCGTGCACCCACACCGGAGCAGGCAGCTGTGGTGCTCAATCGACCAATGCCTCTGCCCAGTCCGGACTTTGTGCCAAAGCCCATATTGAAACGGTCATCCAATGAGCACGTGGAGCTCACCCTTAGCCAGCCTAGCAGCCCGGATGCACAGCAGCAGGAGCTGGGAAATGGCGCTGTCAGCAGCCCTTCCACTCCTGCTGCAGCGCCCAGTAATTTGAAACTGGATCTGGCAAAGGGCATCAAGTCGTTTTTCAGCCGGGACAAGCGCTCGGCCACCGAGAAGAACACCGAGGCCAACGAGGAGATCTCGAATCCGCTGGAGAAGACCAACGCTGCTGTCATCGCTGCGGAGCTGGAGACGAAACGCAAAATAAAAGAGGAGGAGGAGCTGCGGCGCCAGGAACAAGAACGATTGATGCAGGAGGAGGCACACGCAGCCGTGGATCACTACAGCGACCTGGTGCGCCAGGTGAGCAGCACCCACAAGTACCACACGCCGCTCTACCTCGACCGAGATGAACTGAAGCGAGCCGCTGCCCARGCGGGGGAGGACGACGACGACGACGATGGTGCCGCAGCGGAGCATCAGCAGCGTCGAGCACGCAGTCCCGATCAGGATGAGCTGCTGCTGGCTCCGCCTACCGTAAGTCGGGAGCGACGTCTGTCCATTTCAGAGCGGGAGCAGCTTGTGCATGTGCGTGATGCAGCCAGCAAACATGCCATGCACAAGGCGCCCGAAACACCTGCACATGAGGATCAGCGGGGGGAGGAGGAGCCGGAGTTTCCCACTGTGCTGGTGGTGCCGCCACCCAAGTCCAAGAACAAAAAAGACGCCGAGGAGTGCGCTGAGAGCGTGATGAGCGAAATAGTCGAGGCGCGTCCGGATGCTCGTGGACGTACGCGTCTGGTAAAGGTCAAGCGTGTGATCAAGCGCCGTGTGCCCTCGCGCACGCGCTCCCGCGACGTCTCACTCAGCAGGCCACAGCAGCCGCTCGCAACCGGAGGTAGCTCGTTGTCTCAGGAACACAGCTCCCAAGCGGCATTGCTGCTGTCCGCCGCGGATCGTGAGCTGCTGGAGAAGGCAGCCAGCTTGGCGCTGCTGCAGTCCTGCTCCGAGGAGCAGGCGCATGAGAAGGTGCGCTCCGCCTTGAGCTACTCCACGGATCTGGTGCTCTTCCTCGTAGCCTGCTATGTCTATTTGTTCAAGGACGCACGCCTCGTCCTGCCCATCTTGGCGCTGATGATCTATCGCCAGCTGGGCGAGGCCGTGCGTGGTTACATCCCCAGCTGGCTGCGACGCAAAGGCAACGATGGCGCTGCCTGAGTCACCCGAATCTCCAGCTGCCCCCCAGTTCATCATGCGTTTATCAGTTAAGTTAGCTCTTATCAATCTATCAACTTGTATTTTAAGCTTAAGTCCCCCAAAAACTTCGGATCTACTACGAATTTCTTATGGATAACCCTGTATACGTATACGTTTACTTAAATTATATAGTTAACCGATCTTAGACTTGTTGCAGTTAGATAAAGTTTTTGATTATGTGAAATCGTCAATATCTTATTTGTCCGATTGAAAAGCTCTGTTAGCATTAGAGTCTGGAATTTGTGATTCATTTCTCTTGTGTAAGTAAATATATATTTTATAATATGCTTGTCTGATTGTCTGATATGCTTCCTAGCTTCTTACATGATGTTTCCAGTTAAATTATTAAAATGCAATATGTATATATATTTATAATTTTCATATTATTCATATTTGACCTCTATTTTATAGAGTTTTAGCTATGAGTAAATTATGGTCAGATTATAGCTAGCTGCTCGCCAAGCATCGGTTTACTATATCTATTAAAATCACTATACTTAGGCTGACTTTGTTATGTGTTGTGGTACTCTTCCTCCCAATCAGTGCTCGCTGCTTAGGCCTAATAGATTATATTTTGTGTTTGTTTACGACTTATTTTGTCGGTCTTTTCTGGATTGTTGGTCAATTATTTATTTGAGAAATAAAGCACACAAAAACAAGAATCTAGTCAAGTTCCGGTGAGACGTCAGCGCCATATCCAACTATAAACAGATCGAATCGGATGACTTTCCTTATCGTTCGGTATGTCAACAGCAGTAGCAGCCGGTGCTGCGACAAATTTCATGGAATATTCTTTGGGCTTATCTGATCTATGTAAATATATATTTGGCATAAAAGAGGGATGCTGAATTGGCCAGAAGCACATTCCATCCTCTATATTCCCAACATGTCTGCCACATACGCTTGGATTTTTGTGCTCTGCTTGGGCTTTGCTCTGGGCAACGCTGCTATAATACAAGGTCAGGAGGCTGCGGTCGGACCACCGCCAAATCTGGCCCAGGATCTAACGGATATCTATGGCCAAATACAGTTTAAGCCCATGCAGAAGCTGTTTGTGCGCTACCTGCTGAACGATGGACAGTTCCAGGCTTTCGTGCGCATCTTGAACAGCAATGCGGGCTTCACGGCCTACTGGCGCCTGCTCGCCCAGCCGGAGGTGCTGCTGTTCCGGCAGTGGGTGGATCAACAGCTGTTGGCTTCCTCGGGCAAGTTCGAGCTGGAACCAGTGGAAGTGTGCACCTCACTGCTGAATCGCTATCCGTACCTATCGGGCACCGTCTTCGGCTGGCAGGGATTCCTCAATGAGCTGGAGATGTATTTCCCACTTTATGCCATCAACGCCCAAGTGCAGCTTAAGGTGCAGCAAGGCGGCATCTTTGCGCAGTTCTATCAGCGTTTGAGCGCCCTGAAGGTCGTCTACGAGCGTTGGCTGGCCACGCCCAGCACCCAGACGGTGTTTAACCAGCTCCAAGCAGAGGGCATTGACACTGTCCAGCTGGACGCGATTGTGCGGGATCTATTTGGCTGGCAGGTAACCAATACAACAGCCGCAACACTCACACCCACGCCAACTGTTCCAGATGGTGCTGTGATGATGCCTGGAGCTCCACTAGTCCTTTAATGCCTAGTATAGGGCGTAATCCCTGCTCGGGTCGAGCTTGGCTAAATATGGTGTATGGTTTACTTATTTATATATAAATATATATGCGCAAATATTTATCAGTTGAATCTTTTATTTATCTAAATTGGTTGCCAACGAAAATATTTTAAATAATAATTCTCTAATAGATAGAAATGAGTGAAAAGTTTGTTGGAGTGACTGAAAGTTCAATAAGAAAAGAAAAGTAAACGGATAGACTAAGTTAAGCTTCTTATCAGTCCAATTAGAGAGATTTACACATCAATTCAAGAGCATTTTACAGTAGCTATAATTGTAGATTAAATACAATCGAATTTTATCTAGGTGCTATAAAAACGGCTTCTATAAAAATTGCAATGCTAACTTGACTTGCTAGGATTCATATGAGACAAAATATCCAATACGTTTTCTCAATATAAATTCGAACTCAATTATAGAACATGCAGCTGAACAGTCTGAACGAACAGTTTTATATATATTTATATATATATATGTACATAGATATATGTGTAAAATCTTTTGAACTAACATTATCAACAAATCGCATTGATTGACTTGAATGCTATTTTAGAACTTTAGCTTGCCCAGCGTATCGGAGACTTTGCTGGCATTGCCTGCGGGTTTCTTTTTGTTTTTGATGGGCGTGGCAGCCGGTTTGGGCTTCTTAACGACCATATCCTTGTGGAGCACCTTCAGTGTTTCGTCCACCTTCTCCTGCTTGGCCTTTACAGTCTCCTTGAGCTGAGAAAATTGAGGTAGTTTAATGTCTGGGAATCATGGTAGATCTGGATGATTCGCTTGGCTCACCTGCTTGAGCTTGCCCTTCACTTCCTTGGGCTTCTTTTTGCCCTTGTTGTTGGCCACCTTGAAGACGTTTTTGGCCTTCTTGGATTTATTTAAAGCAGGCTTGGCGTTTGCTTTGCCAGCAGCTGCACTTCCGCCCGCTCCCGCTCCCTTCTTGGCATTGGCCTTGTTGCGACCCATGACGACGTGGCTGTAAATACAACAGAAGAGACACGAATTCATTTTTTATAGAAACTTCATAAACTTTATTTTTAGCTTAGTCAAACACATTTAACTTTAGTGGCAGCAACAGCCTGCTCCTCCTCTGTTTCCCCTGTGGAACAGGGGCGCTTGCCCAGCAGCTGCTTGGGCGTGGTTAAGAGCGTTCGGGTTAGCCTAAAGGAAACTCTATACATGTCCTTGTTGGGCGCTACATTCCGAACAAAGCTTATCCCCTGCAGCTCGTCACCCAGTGCTGCGCCTAGATTACTTTCCACCAGCTGCTGCACCAGCGCCTTGGTATTCTCTCCCTTGGCAAAGGAATAGACATGTACTAGTGGATAGCGGGGTTCCTCTGGCAGCTCCTCCGGCGTATATAAGCCACGAAATGCGTCCAGGAATTCCACAGCCATTGCTGGTAGATTCATGGTTATATGAATGTTATAAGGCTCAGCTGCAGCTGATGTGCGCCAACGCTCTAGCAAATCCTCCCGCAAGTCCTTTAGGATAAACTCTCGGCCATCCTTATTAAACATTTTGATATGTGTCAAGCACTTGTTGCGCTTGGCATTGTGCTGCAGCCACTGATAGCTGACGGGATTGAGGTCATTGGCCAGCACCTTGCAACGCTTCTTGGCCGCCGGCACACTGAAGGGACCAACGCCAGCGAACACGTCGTAGAGCACATCATTAGGCTTTAGTATGTTAACAATCCTCTCGTGCTCAGTTGACAGACGTGGATTCCAATAGACCTTCGAGAAGTCAAATTCAAAGGGCACGCCGTTCTCTTTGGTCTCCACCTGGTAGTCTGGCTCACCGCAAATCAGCTCCAGCTGAAAATTGCGATAGGTATTGTCAATGGAGGCCGCCTTGTTGACCACGGTGCGACAATTGGGCAGCTTATCGCGCAGCACCTCGCCGATGAGCTGTTTGTAAGGAAGCAGGTGATCACGCAGATTTAAGTGGACTATATGGCCAATGCGCGAGAAGGAGGAGAGTCCCTCCTCGTTCTCTGGCAGCACACTCTTCAATATCTCATTGGCGCTCCAGTTCTCGTAGGTTAACTCGAGATCTGCATGGCTGAAATTCTCTTGCGTCACCTGCTGCTGCTCCAGCTCGGCGGTGGGTAGTGACTCCCAATTCTTAACAGGTATTGGATGCAATAGTATTTCACGTTGATTCTCCACAGCCCGTACTGGGTGCAGATGCTCCATTTTGAGTAGCAGCTTCTTTACCAACGGGATCACACGCTGCACCTGAGATTCAGGCACTCGTAGTCGGGGGATTTGCACATGTTTTTGAAACTCCGCGCGCTGCAGCTCACGCATGCCACGTACTGAGGCAGGTGGCGACAGCAATGTGCTCTCCATGTTGCGGTAATAGTGGCGTAAACGTTTGCTTACTAACAGCAAATTTACGATTTTGGTAAGGGGTGGGGGCCTGGTGACCGCGGAAAACATTAACAAAAAAACGTGCATGCAATCAATGCAGTCTCTTAGAATTGGTTTTACACGTTTTAAAATTGTTATGGCAGTCAGCACCAATTAACCAATATAGCTTTAGTAAACACAAATAAACATTCAGTTTATGTAAAAAGCACAATTATCTTCGGAAATTACCTTATTTCTCAAATATTATAAAGCCAGCGAAAAGAAATGAACTGGATGTTCGCTCCACCACGAACTCGTTCCACATTTACTTTTGCAATTGGTCTGGCAGCGCCGCAACAACAGCTGTTTGTGGCTACGAAAATGAGCGGCGCGCAAGAAAACACAATTGAAATTTATCCTAAAACTCAATATTTAACGTGAGTACTGAATGAAATATAAAAGAACTACATAATAAAAATGTCTATAGTGCTTCAGAACTTGTAGCACAACGGCATCCTGAAGTTGAATCACCAAGAAACGGGCTTAAGCGCACCAGCTTTGAAGGCAGTGCAGAGGAAAATGAGGAGTTAAAAAATACCTATGGTGAATTTGGTTTTTAGTTTAGTATATAAAATGAATAAAATAAACATTTGGTTTTGTTATTACAGCAAATTTGCGCCTGCAATTATCTGCTAGACGTATTGAGCGCCAGGCAGGTCGCGCTATAGCCATATGGAGCGACGATCAACAGGCTGCTGAAGTCGTGCGTAAAGATGGAAAGTTTGAGAGCTTTGGCTACAGTCAACAAGGGAAACTCTATTTGGAATATTACGAGGCTTTATTTCTGCTGGAACTAGTGTGTATACTCTTTTCATATTATATGATAATATTTGCTAAACATATTGTCTATTTTCACAACAGAATCGCCTTCAATTAGAGTACTGTGGATTGATTGTATCCATCGAGCAGGCCTACGTCTTGCTGCTTGGTGAGGAGGCTAGTGAAAAGTATAACAATTATTTTGTCTACTCGGCTTTGACACGCGCCGGTTATATAGTTGTCAGGCATCAGGAAGGGTATCGAACAGCCTCCAGCGACGTGGTCACAAAAGATGACTGCATTTGGGCTCTGTTGGATGCTTCTCTAAGTAATAAGCCTGTTCCCCTGCACATCAAAGTCTCCCAATTTTACAACGCTACGTTCGAGCGAATGGTGCAGCTCAAGCAGCAAATAAAAAATCAATGCTCAGAAGCAAGCACAGACGAGATCAGCATAAATAATGAGCCTAACGCCTTCAAGTTTGACACACGTAAGCGCAGAGCGCAGTCAGAGCCAGAAGAAGAGCTAGCTAGCAAAAGGGCAAGCACGACAGGGAGAAGCCTTATAGATGCACTAAAAGATGAGGCAAGCTACAGGAAATTTCAACAAACTTTCGAAAAATTGGACATAGTACGGCTGCAAAGCGAGGACTACCACTGCGATGTAGACTCAACAATCCGCACCTTTAAGATCACCTTTGATTTGCATCTTCATAACGACGGTTTCCGGCGAAGTGCACCGAAGACACCCACCTTCAGCGTGATTATTCTACAGCACGACGAACCATTTCCCACCCACATCGAGATGCTCCACTGCCAACGGCAGCAGATGCGAGCAGAAGAGCGAGCACCGCTGCTCGTCATATCCGTAAGCGAATCGAAACACATACAAGCGTTTCTTTATTATATCAGTTAATAACTACTCCGGTAGATGTATTTTGTATAACCATATAGAAAATAATAATTGCTATTTTATATGCGTGTCCATAAAAAGCTCTTTAATTATTTGGTTGACTTGCGTAGCTAAAAACTATTCAATCAAAAAATTGTCATCATTGTCTAGGCATTTTTAAAATTGTTAAAATTGTTTATATAAAATACGGAAATTATTTATTTTTTTTAAATATGGTAGAGTTTTTATTAAGCTGTAATTAGACCACTAATTAATATTTGAATACACAGAATGTGCCAATTGTTTGGGTTATGGGTGGACCCAGCAGCGGTAAGACTACGCTCGCTCAAAGTATAGTGGAGAAGTACGGATATAAGCACGTGGATATCAATGCTATTATAGACCATGAGGCAAGTGCTAAAAGCAATCGATAATCTGTACTTAACATAGAATCTGTCGCAGATTGAGACCGACACGCCTAAGGGTAAACAATTCGCTGAGGTAGTCAATAATGGTCAATTGGTGCCGTTAGCTGAGGTCATGCCGTTAGTGGAACAGGAACTAATGAGTAATAAATCGGGACTTCGAGGCTTTGTAATAGATGGGTAACTATGCAGTAGGCAGCGTAGACAGTTGTCCTATACAGCCTGCGAGAATTCCACAGTTATCCTACAAACCAAGCCGATGCCGCTGTTTTGGAGCAGCAGGTTGGCACTCCAGATTTGGTAATTGCTCTGAGTGTGGGGCAGGAGACGATAGACACGCGCCGATCCTCACTGAATGCACGAACTAGCATTACGGCCCAGGCATATATGAAAAATGTGAAGCCAGTGCTGGATCAGTATGCCGCCAAGACGATGCAGATCGATGGCGATCGCGATGCTAATGCTGTCTTTGAGGATGTGAAGCCCAACATGGAGATAATCAA